GACGCCTGCCTGCCTGCCTGCCTGCCTGCCTGCCTGCCTGCCTGCGAGAGGTAAATCTCGTGAAGGAAGGTCTTGCACGCTGATCCTGGTAAACAACCACGGAACCCGCCGGGCAGAAGTTTGACCCTTTCGCAAAAGCAGGGATAAATGCCGGTTTTTTTTTCATGGCTGTGCCGTGAGCCGGGGCTGGGAGAGGTTTGACAGCGGGGGTGGCGGGGCAGCGGGAAGACGAGCCAAGCGACTGTCAGGGATCCTGAGGAGTGAGTTACATGGTGGAGTGGCTGGCCCGCCGTCCATAAGGAATTATGTTTGGTAATGTAAAATAGAAGCAGCCAAGAGCTTGTTTTACGACATTAAAGAAGTGCACCGAAATTTAAATTTGCAGTAATGTGAGCCTTCTGCTACTATGTGTCAGTCACAGCTGCCTGACCGGAGATCCAGGTGGTCCTGAGCAGGAGGGAATGGTGGGAGAAGCAAACCAACAGCAGAAGCCAAGGGGCTGCTCAGGTTTGGAGTTTCTCATTATTGTAACGGGCTTTCTTATTATAATGCCATAATCTCCAATTTGTGTGGCAGATGTTTCCACAAAGATAAAGTATGGATTCTCAACAAAGAGCCTTTAAACAGCCACAGGTTGCATCAGCTCTGTGGTGCCTGAAAATGAAGCGGAGTGGTGAGCAGCTTCCAGAGCTGACTGCGTGACTCATTGTGTTTGTGCATCGTCAATATTGGAGCAGACAGGAATCATCATGGGAAGCTGATTGCAGACGGGAGTGAGTCAAAAGAGAGCCTCCCTCCCCTGAGCTAAACGCGCAGGGACAGTTCAAAACTTGTCTCAGCAAGAAGTTGCCCTACTGCAGGAATTTTTGTTTTGAATGAAAGAAGCACTTATTTAATTTAGGGGAGGGATGATTACGTAAAGTGGCATATAAAAACATATTTGATCCTCTGACTAACTTCACGGTTATTCTAATGTTGTCTTGCAAAACTTAAGCTTAAGCCCTTTCTGTCATCATTTTAAAGCTATTATAATATTTATGGATCGCAAGAATGGATATGGAGGATTAAATACACTATCAGGTTCTGCCTGCAAAGCTAGCTGGCAGGCCGTGTTATGACAGACAGAGGCCCTGTCTCCACACGAAATCTCTTGGAGTAAAGTGTTATATTTAGAAAAAATATGTCTGTATTCCAGCTCTGTACCATGAAAAATCTAGAATTTACAGCACCTGATACCTACGCAGAGAAAATCTGTATCATTTACTATGCATTCAGCCTAGGTTTCCACGCGTGAAGATAGTTATGAACCTGAACAGCTCTTAGGTGAGGGAGCATATTGGCAACAGACAGATTTCAGGGATGATATCAAGCAAAGTAATGACAGGAAGCCAAATCCTAAAAGGCATTATTGAATAAAGGAAGATAGGCAGTTTCAGTGAGCTGAACTCCTTACTCTTGCCAGTGATTTACATAGAGCGCAAATCTCCACATCAAGCAGGAAAGAATGGGGAAGAAACTCCACATGTTGAAACTCATGTCCACATATAGAGCATGTAAGTGTAATTCATAAGGGAGCAGTAACTGTGAACTTAATTGAACTCTGCTTCATTTGGGGCTAAGACATTCAGGATTTGCTACATTTTTTTTCCTGAATAAATTGCATGACGGGTTTATTTAAAACTTCAATAATGTTTTTATTCATAAAATTTACCTTGATTAGCACGTTCATAGGATCCTTCTTTAGCTCCACATTTCAAAGAAACAATCATGTTTCACAGTTTGTCTCCATTGAATCATTCACTGGTCATGCTGTCTGGGTCTGATCCAGAAGTCCATCCTATCTGCTAACATTTTATACACGGTTTCCCAAATCTGTGGCCTACTGAGCACTTAAAGACTGAAAAGCCTTTGTACGTTGCTCACAAAAGGATTTCTTAATAATGGCTGTCTCTAGCAGATAAGGGTGCACAAGTTGCGAGGTGAGTTCTGGTCTGGAAACCCGAGCTAGCAGCCAAGCAGACGTGGAGGAGACCTGCAGCTCTACATTCCAGACTGCAGGTGCTTCCCTTACTGCCCTGCCTCATCCCCTCAGAAACCCAGCCTAAACTGCTCTTCCTTGATCAAACTGCGGTTGTAGGCTCCAGATTCCAGTTTCTCCTGGGCTGTACAGCAAACACCGCATCTGGTTCTGCTTCAGAAACACCACATCCTCAAGACTGGGGTGAACGTGAGTGGCGATGCCTAGCTTAACGTGAAGATCTAAATCCATGAAGGTCCCCAGGCTGGTGCTCCACCCATTAATGTACTCTGGAAATCTTACTACACCACGGTAGACTGAGTTTCCCTCCTACTCTCCCTGGCTTGAAGGTAGAGCCAGACAGGGAAAGCAGCTTGAATGGGAGCCAATTCAGAAGTTGCTGGGGAAAGGAGCTTGAAAGGGAGGGCTCATTACAAGTCCGAGGAGTGGAGACTAGATAAACATCATTTTGTTTTTCAGAGTGGAAAGTACCATGCCAAAAAAACACATTTCCAGTCCCCAAGCTCCCATAGTCACGGTTCTGGTATCTTCTTTGGGAAAGCCCCATTTTGGTTCTGACACTTCTCTGCAGCATCTGCCTGGACAACAGCTCTCTCTAAAGAATAAATGCGCTATGACGATTCTGCACATGGGGTTCTCAGGAATCCTTCACTGAAATTTTAATGCACAGTGGGATCTGGCTTGCTCCTGAGCTCGGAGGATGAAGTGGTACACACAGAGATCTCGAGTGTGACATTCCGTTTGT